ATTTCTCTCTCTCTCTCATTAGGGCTGGGATGCGTCGAGATTTGAAGTCAGGTACGACACTAGTTATTGACAGATATGCTCATTCAGGTGTCGCTTTTACAGCTGCTAAAAAGGTAATGTACATGTATTGAAAGTACCAAACAGCGAAATATTGGAGGGAGGGAGCTAAACTTGGTGCTTTCATAACTAATTGCCAAAATAAAAATCTGTCATTTTGAACCATTTTTTGGAAAAATGCATGGGCTATAGCCTTGAGTATTTTTCAGAATTTTGGCATTTTCTTAGAATGGCTCTAACTTGAAAAATTCAAGTCGGAATCGCCTCAAACTTTCTGTATAGCATAAGTATATCAATGTGTATCAGAAAATGTAATAAAAATTTGGGGTGATTTCGGAGCCATTTTTTGAAAAAAAAACCATAAGCTATAGCCTTGAGTATTTTTTAAAATTTGGCCTGTTTTTAAAAATGGCCATAACTTGAAAATTATTTATCAGAATCAACTCAAACTTTCTGCACAGCATATGGACATCAATATGTATCAAAAAATGTAATAAAAATGTGGGGTGATTTTGGAGCCAATTTTCAGAAAAAATCCATAGGCTATAGCCTTGAATATTTTTCAGAATTTTGGGCCATAACTTTAAAAAATTAAGTCAGAATCACCTTAAACTTTCTACACAGCATAAAGACATCAATATGTATCAGAAAATGTAATAAAAGTTGGGGGTTATTTTGAGCCATTTACGGGCTATAGCCTTAGTTATTTTTTCTAAAGAGACTACTCAGTTGTCTTATTACAAGCTGTTGCATGAGCGCATATTTACTTAAAGTCACATTCTTCATACTCCAGTTTACTTATTTGGGCAAAACCCACTAAAATGAGTAGAGTTTGTTTGTCTTTAAAGTCAGTAAAAAACTTTTCCTAGCAGCAACATACATGTAAGGTAGAGATTCTGCTTCTTTGCAGCTAGTAATCTACAAGGCTAAACCCTTTAATGTTTTACATTGTTTCTAGTATTACCGTATAGCTTGAAATTTTTGTGAAATGTAAATTTCGTGATTTTCGTGGTTATGGGCTGCCCACGAAATTTAAACCCACGAAATCATTGAAGTGCCATCCCCTTACAGGCTATGTAAGCTATCAACCACGAAAATTAAACCACGAATTGCCCCACTAGGAGCAAACCACGAAAATATTGACCCACGAAAATATCAAGCTATACGGTATACGTGTTCGTGTACATGTACATGCATGTTAAATTGCTCCTTTTATTGTAAGGGATATGAACACAGTAAAAAATAATAATTAAGTCTAAAATCATCATTCATTATGTTGATAGGTAGCATCAGTTGATTGGTGTAAAGGTCCTGATAGAGGTCTGCCCTGTCCTGATGTTATATTCTACTTTCATCTCTCATCAGAGGAGGCACTCAAGAGATCAGGATATGGAGAAGAGAGATACGAGAAGAAGTCATTCCAAGAGGTCAGTCAATGAGTGAGTGTTTCTTCATAGCAAGGACATACCATATGGTTGGTAATATTCGAGGGTCCAAAATTTCGTGTTTTCTCCAAAATGTCCTTAGAAGCTAATATTCGTGGGTAAAAATATTCGTGGGTGGTAGTTAGCAAACTTCTTTTCACTTGGATCTACTGGACTACTAGCTTCCAACACATGGCTTATGGTGGAATATGGAGTAACAGACAAGAACTCTGGCTCCTCCACTAGCTTGAAAATAGTAGTTAGAGCTCTGCATGGCCCGTTAATTAGCTTTTATGTGTGGGTGGGTAAGGGTTAAAATTTCGTGGATAAAAATAAACCACGAAATTAACGAAAATTAATACCCCATGAAATTTACCAACCGTACGGTATACGATACATGCATCTAGCTAGTAGTTTTAAGGGGAACTTTTTGACGGAATAAAACAAATGTCAGCACTTGATTTTTGCACATGTTGATTAGTATACATGTACATGCATATAATTAAAACGTGCCAATCATCAAAAAATTAGCAATTCATTGAAATTGACATTATAGATTCTGGAGCTGTTGGGTTTAATAAAATTCGTGAGTTCAAAATTACCAGAATTTTTATTACATTTCCTGCCCAATATTGTACTATAATAGAAAATTATTGTAATCTAATTATTGTAATACTTTCTTAATACATTTCCTCGTTATTAATAGGAGGTTGCTAGAGTCTATGAGAAACTAAGAGACGGTAGTTGGTTTGATGTAGATGCTTCTAATTCAATTGATGAAATACATAAACAACTCTGGGACAAAACATCAAGTCTCCTTAGTACTATCAATAACAAAGAAATAGGAAAACTCTGGACGTAACAATTATAGCAATATTTATTATAGTAATATTTTAAGATATTTAATTGGGTAAATCCCTGACAGGCAATGTGGCTTTTTGTTTGTCGTTACTGGACATGACGAGGGGGAAAACCCCTTAATTTTTTACATGGTATTATTTAGTATTAACTTTTCAATTATTGTGGATAATAATTACTGTGTATGTGTGCATAGTCTGCATATACTAATTGTTATAGTATAACATTTCTTAGATGTAGTCAATTCTATTGACACTAGTGGCTCTGTAAGTGTCTATGCTCCAGTGTACATATTATACAGATAATAGACCCAACTTTTATGTGCAACAACAGTTATAACTTATAGCAGGCTTCTTGGGCAAATTCAAGCAAATACCTCAGTCTTAATGTACATGTATAATAATTATTTAATGTAATAATAGTATGAGCAAGCCTTGCATGTATATTATTAAAGATAGATTAAATAAAGGTATTTTAAATATTTTATCAACTAGTACAATAATGACTATATGATTATGATTATTATACTAATGAGAGAAGGGAAGAAAGATAGAAAGAGAAAGGAGATAGGGAGAGAGAGAGAGAAGAGTTAGTATTGTTCTCCTTCTTGTAGCTGATAAGTGGCATTGAGGAGTTTCACTAGGAATCTAGGCAGCATGTAGTCTGGAAAGAAAAACGAGTTTTTCAGTTGATTCCCTTCATCGATGCTCTTTGACGGATTAATAGGAGTGTAGGTGTATTCCCAGTTATCACGACGACTTAGTGTGATCTGGGGATAGTGTGATCTGTGATAGAGGGAGATTAAAGCTATTATGCATATACTGTATATACACCACGCAATTCTATAGCTTGCAACTCTGCATGGTTACTTTGATGTTGTAGGAAATGTGTTGCCCAAAATAGAACAGGTTTCTATTCTAGGCAACAGTATTGCAAAGTAACCACAGATAATTGCCAGCAAAATCATTGCCTAGATGGAGCCTTGGGTAGTGGTTGAGAATCTGCTGATGGGGTGCCAGCTGGAGGCTGGAGCCCTAGTTAAAACGCTAATCAGAGATGATGTTGGTGTCATCAATTAATTTCAGCAATATGAAGGTCAGATGTACGGAGTACAGAGACGAAGGGGCAGAAAGCACTATCTCTTCCTTTTATTCCTTCAAAAAACTGCAATATGAATGAATTCTTGAATATCCAATGAGCCCCTCCCTTTTCAATTTACATTCCTTTTCAAGTTTGCATCCGGTCGTGTGGTTAACAATGTCAATGGCAACTAAAACCAGTTCTTGTTCCTCTTCTCTGAGTCTGTTCTCTTCTGCTTTGACTATTGGTAATGTTCATTAACTATCTATGTATCATTGAATATGATTTTAGAGCAACTTATTGATGTACTTAATCTGTTGAAGAGATGTGGTTTCCCTCAGAGGAGATGGAAGGAACTAGGACTGACACTAGGACTACACAAGAACACACTGGACGCTATTGCAGAAAACTACTCAAAAGTAGAAGATTGCTTTATTGAATGCATTGCCAGATGGTTGTCCAGAGCTGATAATGTTGACAGTAAAGGAGGAGCTACCTTTGACTCACTGTCAGATGCTCTTAAATCTATGAATGAGAATGCTTCAGGTGACAAGTTAGATCAAGAGAGTAAGTTAACATAACTGATTGTATTAGTATTGTATGTCTCTTATATGTAGAACGTAAAGCTAAGTCTATTGATATATTCAACACTCATCATCCACTCCTCTCTCAGTCTCTCTCTGATCCTGTCAGTGTAGCTATTATGCTTCAAAGAGAGGGTGTCATAACAGGACAAGTATTGGCTAGTGTGGAATCTGCTAGTCCCTCTGTTCCTAATCAACGTGAAGTCCTGTTAGCTGCCATTATAGTAGCTATTCAAAGCAAGTATAGTTTACTACAAACATTTGCTAGTGTGTTGTGCAAGTTCACTGGTAATGTAAAACTAGGAACAGTTATACAAAGAGACTATGGTGAGTTATCAGTATCAGTGTAATGAATTCTATCTTAATTTAGATAAAACATTTAATGATAATTGTCAGTTAGTATCAGATGTTGAAGGTATATAGTCGGCAGATTAATAATGATTCATTTTTTATGTTAATTATTAGCTCAAGACTCTTCTGAATTTTCTGCTTTTGATTCTAATACATCAACACCTACCAATGGTGAGTGTTAGTTTATGTATAATTATTAGTCACATTATGTCATTTCTGCAGTTGCTCCTGTTTATATTCCACAATATAAAAGTCAAGATTTCGATGTGCTTTTTGCAAAATTTGCTAAAATGTTTTCTAATGTTCGCAAAGTTATTTCTAAATGTCCTCCTCCTTTAGAAGATCTTAAAATGTTCATTGAAGATTTCAACTCTGACCTTGAAGCAGAATTGAGTGCAATAAAAAATCTTCAAGGTGTCATGCGTCTCATTAGAAAAAATTGCAGTCTCATTAATATTGTAATTCTTGAAGCTGTTGTTGAGCACTTTGAGATTGATGATGCTCAGAAATTTATTGATGACTACAAGAGGGAAATTGATCAGTCATGTCGTAGTTTATCAGTTGATCTGTGCTTGAACGAGCTGTTTGATGTAGTTAAGGCCAGTCCTCCTCTTAAATGTGAAACAGCTACTTATGTACTTGGATGGGAAGCTACTGAACATAAACTAAAGGATGTTACTGATATTGTATCAAAATCTTCTGGTAGATTTGTGAAGCTAGTCGACATCAAAAGCACTCAATCAATCACCATCACTTGCTCCTTCCCTCACTCTCTCACTGGAGCTCTCATTATAAAATTGAGTGAGAATCTTGAATTATTAATAAAGAATGGTCTAATGAAGCTTACTATTGGATACTGCACAATATGGAAGAAACAAAAGATACAAGTATGTGTATATATACTGTCAGTAATTATCATTATATACTGTATGATAAAGGAAATACAGGAACCACTGGAAGAGGAGGTACAGGAGATAAAGGAACAATCTCATGATACAAAGGTATAATAATTTGTGTTTGATTATTCTTAAATCAATAGAGACAGAAAGAACTTAAAGAAACTACACAACAACTAACAAACATACTTAGTGAAAAAGAAAAGGTACTTGTGTGTTGGTATTACATGTATACTAGGAGGAATTAATACTTCAGTATATAACAGCTTAGTGTTGGATTGTGTTGTTATATTAGTGTATAGCTAATTGATGGATTATTATTTTATCACTGCATGTTTCATTATAAAAATATGTACATGCAGGAATTGAATATAATGAAGGAAAAAATACAAGAACTGTCACTAATAAAGAAAACTAAGGTTAGTGATAAATATTATTAATGTGGATGCATGCATAAAGTGTTGATCAGCATGTGTAATACTTATTTACTGATAGGAGGATCAAAATGAAGAGGAATGTACACTAGTGGAATTAAAGGAAGTAAAAGAAGCAACCAATGATTTGGAAAAGAAACTAGAAAGTAATTATCTACAATATGAGATATAATAGTACCTAAAATATTGGTGGACTTGTCACCTTCGAATGATGTAAAATGTTGATTATATTAATTATCAGGAATGAAAAAAGAATATCACATTAAATGTCGTACAGTTTCTACTTCAGGTCAGAAATTTATTATTTTATTACAATTTATTGTTTTTATTATTGCAGCATCATACAAAATCATAAAGGGAATGAGAATGGAAATAGAACAAATGTTAACAAATAAAACTGGTACTGAATCATGACTATATGTGTTAGTGTGTTATTATTATACTATGATAGGTTTACTGGATCCGAATGAATCATTAATAGATATTAAGAGTGAAATAGCTGAACTACAAGAACAGATATCAGTAATGAGTCTACATATACTAAAGAAAAGAGAAGAGAATGAAGAATTGATGCATAAAATAAAAGGTACAATTTATTAATAATTTATTAATAATGTACAGTGTCACTGATAGATTATAAAAGAATAACATTGAAACTGGACCAGGAAATATCCAGTGAACAGACACTAGATAAAAGAGAAGAGGATCAACAGGTTATTCATCAAGAGATAAAGAAACAGTTGGATAGACTAATGTTAACTGTGGACTTACAAATTTATAATTATACAAGAACGCAAGTAATAACTACAGGAAATACTGAAGCCATACTGGCACCTTTAGAATCAACTAAAACTCAATCAGTTAAAGTAAGGGAATTCATGATTTCAGGAACAAAAAAGGTGCAGAGAATAAACCTTAGGAAGATTTTCAACCAAAAGTAATGACCATGCTGAATG